CAAACACATGTACAGAATAGTTGGGGTCAGGTGGGCCATAAATGCTGATGGAGATGTAGGAGCCCTGAAACTTAGCCAATGTATTATATACACCGAATAAAAGAAGTGGATTTACTGTATACAACTGAACAAGTATGCGTGTTTAGTTAATGTTAGTCTCTATAGGGAGCAGTCATAGGGTGTAAATATCCAGGAAAAGGAAGCTGTAGTTGATACTTTCTGTGCATGCTGACAACATCCATGCAAGGACTGTGAGAAAGCTAGGCCATTTCCATGACTCTGAGGCATTGGGGGTTTTGACATGGCTGTGCTCATGTCAACAATAAATGTTGATTCAGGATTCCTCTGCTCCATGCAGGATCTAGTGTTCAAAGTTTTTAATGGCAGATAGCAAATAGTGAATATGAATTACCAAGAAAAAAAGAAAATCAATAACAATGAAGCATTGAAAAAAACAACACAGAAAAGGCAGGCATGAAATTTAGCAAAGGAACTGCAACTGGGAAGATAGAGTGAGGCAAAACAAGAGAAAGTTCTAAGATCAGCAAGATTATTATACTTACAAAGATTGCATCCAGTTCATGGCAGAGAAGAAAACAGGTGGCCAAAACTGATCTTCAACATACAAAAATTTAAGACATGAATGATACAAGGGATGGACTTAGATAAATAGAGATTGTATCAGCCAGAAGAGCAAGTGGAAGAATTGTCCCAGTTCACAAATGAACTTCATTATAAATGGACAATTAATATAATAAAGTGTTTCTAAAATAATCAAGAGGCATCTCACACAAATAAGTACTATAAGGTGTGTGTGTGTGTGTGTGTGTGTGTGTGTGTGTGTGTGTGTGTGTGTGTGTGTTTGGGTTATCGGAAGCAATTACAAACAAAACATAACATCTGAGGGCTAAAATAATCCTAAAACCATTTATGAATAAGATGGATTTTAGGAGAATCTTAAGACAGTTTTAGTGTTAAAAGGAATGTCACAGTTAAAATGTCAAGGTTGAGAACCTAGAGAGAGGTAAATAAGACAGCATATAGTTGGGTATGAGACAGACAAGCTGACTAGACAAGAAGGACAGGGCTCTGGGAAAAACAGTAAAGCCAGTCTCCTCTGGCTCTGGTTGGTTCCCATGTCCTCACCCCATCCCTGGCCACTTGAGGAACACATGTAAGGCTTCATTGCCCTTTCACACACTCATGCACCTAAATACAACAAACTAAATTGTGGGTAAGGGCAGCTTTTTCCAACCCACCATCTACTTTAGGAAGGAGAGAACCCTTTACATGGAGCTAACTGTGAGTTTGCCTAGAGAACCTGTAGGTACAGCTGACCTATGACAACAGCCAGCTTCCACAGACAGTAAGGGCAAGAAACAATGGTAAGCTAAGAACTAACTCCATAAATAAAAGAACAAAGGCAGCACGGTTTCATTAATGGCTAGTAGACCTAGCCAAGGCCAACAGCTGGCAAGCCAAAATAAGGTCAAGGAAGAACCAACAGATGAGAGCATGAAGCATTACCATTCCCATAACTAGATAAGCCCCATGCGATTGTGATTGGGTCCAGGGAACATTCCCAGAACATGTGAGCCCTTATTGATTGATTCAGCCTGCCACATGCCTAAGAAAGCTCACCAATCTCAATTGAAACTACTTGTCTTTGTCAAAACAATGAAAAGTCAACTGATGTGTAATTAATTATTGATTAAAATGGCACCAAGTCATCACTGCGTGTGTTTTACATTTCAGGGTACTATTGGTACTGAGATGACAAAACTGAGAAAGAAAAAATTTATAAGTTGTTTGTTGTATAAACTACTAAAAGTAAAATAACCTTAAAACCGAGAGAGTCTGTGAGGTCAAGAAAGAAGATGAGAATGAATGGGAAGTGGAGAATATTCAATAAACCAGAAGAATTCAGAAAAAATATTTGGTAGAAAAACTGAATCAATGCATTAGTCTATTAAATGTCACAAACTTCAAATTACTAAACTAAAATATGCAGTTATATATTATATGCATTATCAATTCGGAAATTTTAGAAGGAAAAATAGAAGAGACTTATTTTTAAAAACACTTAAAAATAATAATAAATATTAAACTGAGCTTGGTGGTGCATTGCTATGATCCTGGCACTTGGGAGGCAGAGGTAGCTGGGTCATGAGTTGGAAGCCAAGCTGGGCTGCCTAGTGAGACACTTTCTCAAAAACAAACAAAATAAAAACCCAAAGGCTGGGAACGTACATAATGTGTAAGACAAAACCTGTTTCAATGAAAAGACATGAACAGGAAAGGGGAAATTTTATTTTAATAAATTCAAATGTATAATGAAGATATAGCAACCACGAACTTTGAGACAATAATCATATAACTTGAACTACATGGATAAGAGATCTTTTGTATAGAAAGAATTTCACAATTCCTAAACATGCTTGTGGTGCAGCTCTAAGAATTTAGTCACACATGAAACCATAGATCAGTCTATTCAATCAGTTTCCTCTGATAATAATTCTCTAATCAGGATGCAATGTACTCTGTCTACATAATCCATGGGGCAAAAGAAGCCAGAGAAAAATTAATATACAATACCTTAAGTGGAAATGGATTATAAAATCAAAACTTGTAATATAAAGGTAAATCATTTAATCAAAGGAAATTTGTGCCTTTGGATCAAGATGAATCATCTGTAAATTAATCATTGATAAGATACCTCAAAGAAGGAAATTAGCAGGTGATTAAATTTTAAAAATGTAAAGATTTAAGAATAAAAGTCAACCTAACTGAAAAAGATAACTATCAAAATGCTCATAAAAATGATAGATGTCACATGTTTTCAAGATCAAAATACAAAGAGGCCAGGCATGGTGGCACTGATTATAGGATCACACCTGCAATCTTAGGAGTTGGGAGGCAGAGGCAGAAGGATCATGTGTTCTAGGCCAACCTCTTCCACATGGTGAATTCAAGGCCAGTAGAGGCTGCATAGTAAGATGTTGCTTCAAAACAACAAAATAGGAATAATAACATAGAGATTATAGATATCCAAAAAATAAACAAGAACACTGAAATTTGTATGCCAACAAATTTGAAAATTCAAATAGGGAAAAGTAGAAAACACATGTTTTTCCTAAACCTAGTGTAATAAAAAATGGCACAGTGACACGTGCTTGCAAAGGCAGCTACTGAAGAAACTGAAAGAAGAACACTTGACTCTAGGAGTTTGGGCCTAAACTGAACAGCATAGTGAAATCCAATGTCAAGAGAGAACACGCCAAAGGGATAAAAGCCCGGAGGGTAGTGAACTCTGAGGAGTAGGGTTTCAATAACTGAGAAGGTGTATGAACACTTGAGACATCAGTGCTAGGTGGCTCCTGTTCTGAATGATGGTTTCATGAATGGCTTCACTTAGAAAACATTCATAAACCCGAACATCTGAGATAGTGCACTCAACTATAACACGCTTTTAAAGAGCTACTTAGTATTTTCCTGTTAATATAAAGCAGCCAAGTTAAAGATATTGTCGGGGGATTGAATTCCCAATAGTGACAAAACAGTACAATATACATGAAGAAAGCTAGTGTTCCCTGTAAACAACATGGAAGGACAATAAAAGTATATTGAATTATGGAAAAATCAAACATTAATAAATGTACATGTTAACAGTTTTGACTAAGGATGGAATTATTAGTATGTGGGCACAATTTTGAATGAACTGTCTGTATTCTTTTTGCTACCAGGTTGGAAATCATGGCAAGGCAAGAACCATACTTGTAGTTTTGAGGGGTTTATGGGCTCTGAGCTCTGACTGACAGGCTTAGAGGCTCATCTTCAGGCCCTGAGAAATAGAGACTAAAGATTGTAGTCCTCAGAACCAGACTTATCAGGGCAGGTGCGCAGGATTCTGGCAGCCCGGTACTTGGCAGTTGGAGAAATATTGGGCTGTAAGCAGCAGCTAGTGACAGAAGTTGGCAGCTGTCTGTGTGGGGGTTCCAGCTCTAGAGCCCTAGGTGTCACTGGCCCAGGTCTTAAAAAGCAGCAGATGTTATACTTCTCATACTGCAGTATCAGGACCCTTGCCCTTAGAGGTTTTGCAGAAACTCTTCCGGGGACTGGGGATGCAGTCTGTTGCCCACAGCCTTCTGCTTTCTGCAGTCTTGCCTCCCTGACTTCCACTGTCCTTTACTGTGTCAGCTGTCCTTGCTCCCCATTGCTTCTGTCCCTGACCACTGTCTAGAAAGCCTCAGCTACCCCTTTGCTACTATGATCTCTGCTGCCACTGTACTGTCAATTCTCTTCATGGTGACAGCCCTGCCTCCTCTACTTAGGAGTGGAACAAGGACAACAGACATTCTAAAGTGAGTCGGGGAAAGCCCACAAAACATCAACTCTACACACACACACACACACACACACACACACACACACACACACACACACACACAAAACAAACCCAAAACAAACAAACAAAAAACTGGAGGCAGCTAAGGAATGCTGAGAGCCGGAAAAATGGTCTTCCCCACAGATGAGTACACCAATTGGTTACCCAGTATCAAATGATCAGCCTAAAAACACACATCCAAGTAACATACAACTGAGCAGGTTGTATATATGTATATACATATGTGTATGTAAAAACAATGATCAAAGATGCTATGAATTTGAAAAAGGCAAGGAGGGCTATATGGGAGGGCTGAGAGGGAGGAAAGGGAAGGGGAAATTATGTAATTATATTATAATCTAAAAAATTAAAAGAAAAAATTTAAAGGATAAATATGAACTTTGTTTTCACAACCAAGTAAGAAACGTTCATCAAAGGGGTAGCACATCTACCAGATGACTTGACAGTTTGAGTATGTATAGATTACACACACACACACACACACACACACACACACACACACACACACACACACATTCAGGAGTGGTGTGTGGCATGCATGTTTTATGCAAACAAAGGATTGTATTTATCAGTTACGGTACTGCTTCCAGCTTACCTGTTAATGGTTTCTTTCTGGGTTACTCAGGAGGCTCTCCTCTACCCTCTTTTGTCTGAGAATAGCTGCAGAATCTATTAGTCTTGCCTGGGATACAGCAAGCCTTCCACAGCCAGTGCAGTCTTTCTGGAGTGACTGTAAGGAGGGCAAGGGCCCTTGGAGCATCAGTTGTAGCCTTTGTTCCAGTGGTCTTTGAAGCTAGAGTTTCCTCGGAGTGATTAGGATGTGCCTTTAGCAGCTGAAAGAATGGGTGCTTGAAGGACAGTCCTGTGTTCCAAGTAGTTAAGTGCAAGGGAAGGTAACTATGTATTGTCACACAAAGATCTGAATTGCCATTTGTTAGGATTTTGTTCTTTCACATGAAAACAATCATTATAGCACAAATGACTTCCAATAAGGGCTTTAGAAAGCTCAACACAAAGCTAGCGTTCCCAACTGAGTGTCACAGTGCTTAATAGCATGTAATAATGCTAGCAGCGCCCAGTCCTTGCTCCAGAACACAAAAGAAAGTTGGATATACCTGACCCACCTTAATATGTTAAACCAAATCCCTAACTTTGTATTTTCTTGGAACTGTCACATTGTTGAGTTCATGTATAAAAGAATATTCTTGTGAATAGCATGGATGCTTTTATAAAACGTAAGCAATGAATACTAACTAGAATTTGTATTCACTAAAACATATACTATATTTGAATGGTATCAGTAATCAAATCGATGAACAGAAATACTTTCTTAAAAGAAAAAAGGGCATGAGGAAGTTTTCATTGGATCTCTATATTATGTGTTTAACATATGATGTTAAGACTCTTACTGATTTGTGAACTTAGGCTAATGCTATTCTTATGGCATAACAAGGAAATTCAAGGTACATATTGTCATAAAGCAGTTGTCCTGGATCCTATGGGGGGGGGGGGGGGTTACTTGTGTCTAGTTCAAGACCAGGCTGTGGAACATATTGAGGGCTTTAGCTCCTAAAATAATTATAAAATGAGTTCAAAATTAATGACTACATGTAGAGATGAAATATTAGAGAATATTAGAAAAATATGTAAAATGAAAGATATGGATAAAAAAATTTACAAGAATTCTAAGACTTGTTCTGTTATATCTCATCCCTACCCATGTGTGCACATGAATGCACTTAATCTTAGCTCTCTCCATTTATGAGTTTTGTTCAGTCCATTAAGCATTATTTTAAAACGTTTCCCTTGCTTCCTTTCCTACTCAGTGCATTTCCCATCTCCTGCTCATCAGATAAACCCCTATTTATAACTTATCTTCTTTGGATACTTTCCCTAATATCAAAAAGTGAGGAAAGCACTTTTAGCACTTAGTTTCAAAAGATGTGTGTTTAATGGTTTCCTTGAACTTGTTTCATGTTAACTTTAAAGAAAAAAAGTGTCTTCTACTTCTTCAAATATTTCTTATAAATATCTCACTTACTGTTGTGAGGATACAGCACCCCCTTGGCAGTTCTTGGTACATTGATAAAATAGTTTAAATAAACATACTCAGAAGGGAACTTGAAGACAATTTATTAGGGTTAGAGGGACCAAACGGCCAGCAAAATGGAAATCTAACCAACTGTTTGCAGAAGGGAAAAAGGAGAGTCGCAGCATCAGTAGAGAGCTTGTGAACAAATGCAAGCATCTTTCAGGACAAGGTGGAAGCATGAGGAATGGTAAAGAGACATGTGTATGACGTGGGCACTGGAGGGGGTGTGAAAGAGACATGTGCATGAAGTGGGCACTGGGGGGTGGGGTGGGAAAGAGACATGTGTATGAAGTGGGCACTGGGGGATGGGAAAAAGATGTGTGCATGAAGTGGGCACTGGGGGGGATGGGAAAGAGACATGTGCATGGAGTGGGCACTGGGGTGGGGATGAGAAAGAGACATGTGCCCAGGCTTTACATTATTTATATTGAAGAGGGAACAAAATCCCTCTCCTCCTGCATTAGGATGTATGGCTTGTGCATAAAAGTATCACTTCACTGTTCTAGGTTAAGCACAAATATTTAACCTTAGCATCATTTAGCATGACTTTGCTGTCAGCTCTCTGTGTCCTAGAACTCATAGTGTACTTAAGGTTGGAATGAGTGACAGGTAACCGTGTGTTTCTGATAGTTTCCCCTTTGGCTTTGCCAGTTCTGGATCAGAAAGGAAGACCTAACATTATTTACTGTAATCAGTTCACCCTTTAGCTCTGAAACAGATTAAGGTTCCTGGCAATGGTTTATCGTTGATCTTGCCAGTGATTTCAAGGAGCCTATAGGTCTTCATCACTTACCAAGAGGCCAGTGCTGGATTGTTTTAAATCTAGCAACAGGTGAGTAGATGAAAATGACTTCTAAGCAGTTTGGGAAATTTTCCATTGAAGTATCTGAAATCTGCCTCTTGATTTCTTTAAAAGTAAAATCCTATCTACCAACTATTATTATCCATCAATTACACTTGCCTCTGAAGAAACAGCCATACTGATATTCATGTGTCTCAAATGGTATCTGGAAACATGGTTGTATAGGACCTTTATATTCTCTTCATTCTTTCCTAAAGTTTCCTATCAATACCTCAGTTAATTAGTTAGTGTTCACATAGTGCTGTTGATTCTTGGGGTGGCAAGATGGCTCCATAGGTAAAGGTGCCTGTTGCAAAGATCAGTAATCTGAGTTAAATTCCTTCAACCCACATGGTAGAGTAAACCTACTCTCTCAAGTTGTTCAATGGCCTCCATGCATGTGCCATGGCAAGTGAGTATGTGCTTATGTGCATGCGTGCACATGTACACACACACACACACACACACACACACACACACACACACACACACAATGTAATAAAGATTATTTTTGGTGGTCACATGGCAATGGTTTGTATCAGTGCCATCCTTATTTGCAATCATATCCAAAGAATATCATATCAATTGCTCTAGGTTTGTGTTTTCTATGGAACAGGAGCTCATGACTTTTCTTTGGCTTGTGTTTCTATGGTCCTCCACAATTCAGTTTCTTTAGAATAAAGTATTAAGAATCATGTAACAAAACTTCTAGAGTCACTGGACGGTGATGAAAAAGATAAATGCTAGACCTACCTACACTGAAATCACACATTATGTCTGCATATGCATTTGATTTCACTATACAACTTCCATGTTTTAATAAAAAGTTTATTAACTTACTGGTTGTGATATATGGTAAAAATGCTCATAAATGTGTATATTATATGTGAAAAAGAAGAGGTCCCCAATAGTAATAGATAAGTATCTATTAAAGCATAAAATTTGTCTCCATTACATGGTCTTTGAAGCTGTTGGACCAGAATATATGGACATTTTGCTGCTTAACTCTGAACCAGAGAAAGTTAAAGAGACAAAGGAAATCAAACCCTCGTAGCACATAGAGAATGCTAAACCTTTACTGGAGTGAAAATTCAAATATTTTTGAATTATAGAATCATCACATCGTTATTTAAGGCAAATTCAATTCTGTGTATGCCTTTCCTATATAGTGCTTAATAAATAGGCCATGTAGTTAATAACAAAACATGAAGCTAATAAAAATGTTGTGTGTTAGAAAGTAAGTCACAAAATTATTTTATGAGAAGTATTTTTGAAAGTAAGTAAAATTAATAGAAATGATTCTAGGAGGCAGAATAAGAACTGTGATTTATTCATGCAAGATTTTAGTATGTATAGGTTTTATAAATGATCTCAGGGGTAAACTGAGACTAGTGGCTTATGTTTACTTCTCATTCTGCAGAAAGGATTATCTAGATTTTGGGTTTACCTTCATCAAGGATCATCCTTTACTTTGTCTCTCAAGCACATGATTTTAGGCCTCTGTGCAGTATGACAGTGCTCTTCATTGTGGCTTCTCAAATGTGGTGAGGCCAGACACATCACTAGCAGTAGCTAGCGCACAGCCACCTGGCTCTCCCCATCAACACTCAACCAACAGGCCCAGATTCTGTATCACTTTGGAGCTGTTGGTTAATATTCGGTTGAAATTCCAACTGATGAGGAGTTGCTGCTATCGCTTTGCTTTAAAAACAAACTTGAGCACCCTTGGCACCATCAGGAGCCTCACAGCTTCCAGATGCTGCTTGCTACCTGGCTCCAGTTGCTTCTCTATTCAGCAGACAATGTTTGCTACTATTGATCCAAGCATCTTTGGAAGATGAGAAGAGAACACGAAATTGGCGTTGGTGCTAATACATGCCCACATCAGCCATAGCTGGTTCAAATTTTGTTTGTTGTTTCTGTTGTTTGTTTTAAAGGAACATTTATATTCTCCATCCTCTCAAACTAAGTAGCAGTTCCCATACTCAAGGGACAGTCCAGCTCTTTCTCTCGATAGTCTTCTGATTGTTACTGTTCCTCTTGCCCCTTCTTTAGTTCCTTTTCTCCTTCTCCCCATTTAATGCCTATCCTTTTTCTCTTTTAATTAATTTTTTTCTTTCCTTTTGCATACCAACCCCTGTTTCCCCCTCCCTCTCCTTTTCCTGCCCCTCCCCTATATCCCACTATCCCCTCCTCATAGGGGGTATGGCCTACCTTGGGTAGTTAACACAGTCTGGCATACCAAGCTGGAGTAGGGACCTAGCCTTTAACCCCCGCATCAAAGCTGAGAAAGGCATCGCACCACTGGGAATCGGCTCTAAAAGGCCAGTTCCTGTACCTGAGATAAGTCCTAATTTTGAAGTTAGAGCAAATTTCAGTGGCCCTATATTTTTATTTGTTTTGATTATTCTTTCATACAATATATTTTGCTTCTTTTTTTGCTTCCCTAACTCCTCCCAGATCCTCCCCATCTCCCTATCCAACCAAATTCAGTTGCCGTGCATATATATCACTCAAAAGTGGACATTTTCACTAACCACTGCTGAAAAGCACATTTTATGGGTTTTGATACATCAAGGTGAGTTTTTTACCTACCCCAAAAGCAGGTCCACAAGTGATCTGAAAGGACACAGTGGATAAGATTGAATACACCCAACACCACTGTGCTATGTCGATGGGACCTTGTCCAACCTTTCCCTGTGTGGATACACAATAAAGAAATTTCATTACAGCCAAACTGTCTTAGAACTGTGCTCATAGCAGTGAAATAAGTACCTTTGCCAGACTTCCATCTTCAATGCTTCCTCTGCGGCATCTATAATTTTTTTCAGACCTGTGAGCAGGAGATGATTGAGAAAGAAATGTGAGTAGATCAATAGCTAACTTTTCGTTTATCTTTTTCCATAGTTTCTCATAGTTTACCAGTAGAAAGATTTATCTCACAAAACAGAAAACAAAACAAAAATAAACAACAACAAAAATAAACCATGTCAATCTTGAATACTTCATTTCCTGGAACCTAATCAGTGACAGATTCATTAGGACAAATTGATCTTATCACAGTTTGATTTTATTATATCCATTTAAGGGATTTGATTGTTGCTCACATTATTTTTGTTTTGCTCAACTTTGCTTTGAGTTTGTTGGAAGCAACATTTATCAATACTCAAGGACCAAAGCAGTGTAGTTGTCAAAAAGGTGGAGAGTGGGGTTTATTTTCTCATATCAAGTCCTCAAGTCTAAGATTTTGTATAAACTGAGTCAGAATTTTAGTCTGTCTTTATTACCTGGTAATACCCCCTGTGAAGCAGAAATCTCTTTTATTTGCTCTTAAGCATTTCTATATCTTAAATACTAGCTTGTATTTATTTTCATCTATCTGCCATGTTTATACCACCTTTTACCTTTCCAATCTGACCATTGAATTTCAGATTTCCTTCCTTCTGCATAATTCAATAGTGAACGTACATTATTTTACAATGTTTTATCATTTGGCATCTTTTTATTCAGTCATCCCAATACAGGAGCCCAAGGGCTCAGCTATTCCCTTGTCAGCTTTAACAACCGAAGTATAGGCATAGGGATTTAAGTACAGAGTGTTTCTAGCCAGGGCTTTGAAGCTTGATGGCTGTTGCAAATTTGCCAGAAAATGGCAAAATTAATCACTGTTTTTCTGGTCCACTGATCATTGTTCTAATGATGGAATTCTGGCCAGACTATTCTTGAGACATACTTTTTCATCTTCCTTTTTCTTTTCTTTTTTTTTTCTTCTCTTTTCTTTTCTTTCCCTTCCTTCCTCCCTCCCTTCCTTCTTTCCTTCCTTCTATCTTTCTTTTCTTTTTTTCCTTTTTCTCTTCTCTTTTTTTTTGACACAGAGTCTCTCTATGTAACTCTGTCTCTCCTATAACTCATGATGCAGATTGAGTCGGCTGGCCTTGAACTCAGAGAGATCTCCTTGTCTCTTAATTTGTCTTAATTCTGACCTTAGGAACCTACTCTTGCCACAAATCAATAAGTCCTCTGAAGTCAACACAAGATTTTTTCATTTTTGCTTATACTAGCCAGTATAAGTAATTTCTCTTTCTGTGATTGACACAACTCCAACTATATATTTACTATAAGAATAAAATTAAATTTAACTTCATTCACTTATATTACAATACCTCAATAACTATTTACATACTGGTACAGTGATTTAATTTTATTATATACTCTTTGTTTGTTTAATTTTTGAGGTTGTGTTTTAATTACAACATTTCTCCCTTCCTTATCCTCCTTTCAAACTCTCCCATATAACTTTCCCCACTCTCCTGCAAATTCATGTCCTCTTTTTTCACATCAATTGTTATTGCATGCATATATGTGTAGTGGGTAGCTGTTACAGCTTTGACCTGGAAGCACTACCCCCACTGAGGCTTTGATAACTGTCATGCCTACAAGGCAGGGCCAAGACAGGAGCCCTTAAGACCCAAGATCCAGATGTGCTGACTCTCTTGGTTCCTGGATCCTGGATGCTGGAGGTAGATCAAGCAGAGTTTTCCAGAGAACACTGCTGGACTGCGCTACACCTTTCCCAGACCCTGTAACCTATCCCTTTACTTGTATTTTACCCCACAAAATAAATCTCCCATTTATCTACGTGGAGTTACCTTAATTCTACAACCAAAATATATGTATTTGCATATACACATATATCCCAAATATAACCTATTGAGTCCATATAATGCTATTTTTATATATGTTTTCAGAGCTGACCGTTTGATACTGGACAACAATTCTTCCCTGGAGAGGGCCACATTTCCCACTCTCAGCCTTACTCAGTAGCCTTTAGTTCTTTGTTTACAATTAAGGGATCCTGAGATTTCCCCTGTAAAGTTTTTCATGTTCATTGATTCTCTTGTTCAGCTCATATTTGAGTGGTCATGTTGGTGAGAATTTACAGGTATAGCTACTGATGTTACTAGATGATACAATCTCATAGCAAACTCCCTGATCCTCTGCCTCTTATAATATTTCCACATCCTCTTCTATGTTTCCTGAGCTTATGTATTGGAACGTTTTATAAATATATCCACTGAGACTCCACAGCTCTGCATATTTGTTGCTTGTGGTTTTCTGTAGTTGTGATCTCTGTCTGTTACAAAGAGAAGTTTCTTTGATGAACATTTACCTGGGGATAGGGAGAAATGTTTATGGATTGTTGTTAAGGATTATGTTGGTTTAGTAAATTGGTAGTTGTAGACTCTCTTCAGTAACCATGATTTTACCAGCACTTAGTAGTTAGCTAGGCTTTCAATTAGGCATGGCATCCTTCTTGTTAAGTGGGTCTTAAGTCCAACCAGAGAGCCATTGGTTACTGCCAAAGTCTGTGTGCCACTATTGCATCTGTAGGGTTATAGTGCTATGCTGGTTGTTAATGTGGTTCATAGACATCATAGCTGGGTGGGGCTCTTGCTTGTCTCCCTCCTTTGAAAGCTTGCTAGTGCCCTTGAGTACCATGAAAGCTAGTTCTCAAGGAGGGGTCATTATAGTCAGTTCCAGCTCATGGGTATCTTGGCTCTGTTTCTGAAATACATGGTGTCTTCAGCAATAGGGACTTACCTTCCGCCTCTGGGTTGGGGGAGGGTAACCGACACAATAGCAATAGGCTGTATGTTTTGGAAATCTCTTAGACATTCCTGGCCAACAATTCAAAGGAAGGCTTCTCAGTACGGTATTGGGGGTTTTTGTTAGTTTGGTTCTTGGATGGAATGCTGTCTTCCCAAATAAGAAAAGTTCATTAAAACTGGTGGTGAAGATTAAGGATGTTGGTTTTTCACATAGACAGAAGCTGGCATCTTGGAGATCTTTTCTATATTTCCCAATGTAATTACCTGGATCCCTATCCAGAGATTCTGAAGCATATTCCTTAAATTAGAGATAGGACTGAGAGCGACTGCCAGTGGAGAACAGATGCAGTGTTATTCTCTTAACACAGTTTATTTGTCAGAGGAACCGAGTTGAATGTTTTTTTTATGAAGAAATGATACAAAATCCTTAATACTCAAGAACATCGATAAATAAACTTGCAAACGTATAGCATGGCTAATTTTCTGTATTACATGTAAATCACACCTCTCTTGCTCCTCTTTCCATTGTTTTAACCTTCACTTAGAAGCCAGATGGAGGAAAGAAAATGGAGGGAAAAGGTAGTTTATTTCTTTTTCTGGAAGTATGTAAAACATCTTCAGATGACCCATTCTAGGGAAATAGGGTAAAGTCTTATTGGGAGTGAAGAATAAAGTATTGATTAACATAATTAAAATTCAAGTTTTCGATGTGGGGAGACATGCATTTTCTTACTTATACTTTGTATAAGCTAGGAATGAATTTTTGAAAATTCTTTAGTGATAGATTTTTTTTTTAATTTGTGGGTGTAAAAACTCTCCCATTTTGAGGTAAATAAATTCTAAAAACAGAAGAAGACAGAAGTAGGCATGATTTCTTATTACTATAAAAATTTGCTTGACTAGCAATCTTTTTATGCACACAGTAAGTCATCATTGCTTTTTAATGGATTGATGTATTAAGGTATATTCCTGATTCTAAAAGCACACTAACTTCACCTTCAAACATGGGAAGGATGTGAGGAATTTACAATGTCCTAGGATCTTTATTACCTACCAACTCGCCACATGTTTTTGGTTTTGTTTGTTTTTTTGTATGTGTGTGTATACCAGCCATTTTCTGAGTTATAAGAATACTCTGTAAGACAAGATACACACAGTTCCTTCTGAAATATAGCCCATAGTCCAAAGAGGAGAATGGCGTTCAATAAATAAAGACAATGATAATTGCAGTTGTAGACTTCCTACATCTGCACAACTATAGAAAAATGCCTTGACATTATACCTGACATTATGCAAAAGATAAACATATTCACTGCCATATTAAAAGGTTACAAGATAAAAATGTAGAAAATGATAAGCTCCTAAGGGAAAAATTAAATCTCAAAGATCAATCCAGGCTATTCAGAGAAGCCAGTGTTAGAGGTGGCAACCACTAGTTTACTAAATCAGCATAATAACAACATCAATTGATAAAAAATTGTCCTTAAACTCATCAATAAACGTAGTCTTCACACCTCGTCAAGGAAACTTCTCTCTGAAACAGACAGAATCCAATATAGAAAACCACAACCAATCAATACGCAGAGTTATAGAGTCCCAGTGGATATAAAGTATTCCCATAATTAAGGCTCAGAAAACAGTGGGTGGAAAGATTGTAAGAGACAGAGGATCAGGAAGTTTTCTGTGAGATTGTGTCTCCTAATGATTTCAGAAGCTATATCCATAAAGTCTCCCCAACATGATTGCCCAAATGTGAGCTGAACATGGACAACATTGATGAGAATATCAAAATGGATGGGGAAATTCCCAGGAGGCCTCAACCCCACAAAAAGAACTATAGACAATGGAGGAAGGCTGAGAGCAGAAGAGGTGGTCTTCCCCAGGGAAGAGCATGTCAACTAGTTGTCTAGTACCAAATTGTCAACCCTGAAAACATAGACACAAGGAACTTTATATGAACTTAGCAGGTTATATATAGTAATGTATTTATATTTTTTTCTATTTCTCAGGCTAACATTTTACTATCTAATGTATATTGCAAGGTAAAAGTAGCATGTTGCTGTTTCTGCCAGACAATACTCATAATGTGAAGTAGAAAAACAACATTTCATTATGATTGGTCATAGAATAGTCTTATATTCTGAGTACTTTCAGCTTGACTTTTACTTTATTAGGTAAAAGCCACTTGAAAAGGTTCATGTTTATCTCTTAATTCATGTTTACT